ACTTCTGAGACAGTAGTAGACAGAAGAGTCAGGAGGGCAAGAGCTATCTTCATTTCTTACTGCTCCAAAGCATTCATCTAAGGGTAGTGAGGAAGTTGCCAGCTGGAATGTTGCTGAGATGATGAAGCAGATATTGAGATCGGTCCAGGAACAAACAGCATATAACAAGAGGTAAGTAGCTTTTCACTCTGTCTACCTCCTAGTTTTCCATTCTTTCTCAGAAAAATGCAGGACTGCTGCTCTCACACACTGGGCCACTAACAAGAGATGTTAAGAGCCCTGAAATTTACAGTAGATGCACGTTTTTCCTACTGGCACCAAGACAAGCTCCATTACAGAAAAGTTGAGAAAGCAGCTAAGATATGTATCCCAAAGCTGTACTTCTCGTATGCAATGCCTCTACTGTTCTTAGTTGTTTACTCTTCCAGTATCAGTGGGTCACCTTCCTTCATCAGTTTGGCTTCCTCTTGTTTTGAGTGCAGCAGCAGAGAGGAAGAGCTATGTAACTCAGGTCATGCCCTTCTTCCTCCACAGTGAATGGCCTCTCTTCTTCTAGGCTCTGGGAGTGCCAGAGGCAATGATAAACTTTATGGTTTTCCCTGCCAAATTAAAGCTTTTCATTGGGAGGTAACAAAGATGAATACATGAGTCGGTTTGGGATTTTCATTTTTGTTTGCTTGGTTAGGGGGATATTTTATATTTCTTTTTAGAAAATGATGTTTACATTGCCTATCGCATATTTGTTTGGATGGGATTTAGTGTTAACAAGCACAAGATCTGTCCAATTCTTCATACCATACTTTTTTCAGTTCTCAAGGATGTGCTGAGTGCATACTAATAAATTCTGTCATTTTAGTTGACCTGATAACATTCATTCCTTTAGCAGGATGTGGTTTGATTTGGTCAATGGGGTAGCAAAACAGGGTGCTGTACACAGCGCTGAAAGGGGCAAAAGAAATGTAGAACTCTCACTGTCTGCCAGGCTATTTCCATTGCTGCCAAATAAACCTTTGAAGTCGTTAGATGTTTCTTCTCCAAGGATTTGGTTAAGCCTTAAATCTTATCTGTTTAGCCAAGCCAGCATTAAAAAAAAAAAAATTAATCACGCATTCACTCAAAGGTGTATTTTATGTAAACTAGACGTAGAATCTTGTAAAAGCATAGAGAGAAACTTTTGAAGCTGAGACTTGGAGAGATTTATCTAAGATTTCTCAGCGGAGGTGCCTAGAATTAGGCACAAATAGGTGTGAACTTTACAAGTACTCATGCTTCTAGATAACAAAATGTAACTCTTATCAGATTGAAGAGAAATCATAATTTTGATTCATTTGGGTGCAGGCTTGACAGTATACTTTGAGGAGTGGGTCTCAGCTGGGGAGCAGTGGGATTCAAAAAAGCCCCAAATAAATGTACTCTTAAACTGTGTTCTCTTAGGAGCTTTCAAGTGCTAAAGTGCATGCTGAAGAGCATCCCCTAAAGATAAAGACAGTTTGCTAGCAAGTCAGTATTCAAAATACTTAGGGCTTTGTAAGTCAAGCAGCTCATAAAATTTTACCTGCAAACAAAACCTGGAGTGGTTCACAGAGGGCGAGGATAGCAGTTTCTCCATGAAGCACCACAAAATTAATAGCTATTATTTTAAAGTAGTTGTTGCTTTCAGATGGTCTTCAGGATCATTTACAGCAGGACCCCATGTCTGTTTCCAAAACCCATGTCTGTTTCCATTTTGGAACTGGCAAAACTCTGGGTCATTGCAAAAGCAGTCCCCTTGCCTGCAATAAAATAAAATTTGGCTGCCTGTCAGCTCAGTGCAGCTTTTTTTTTTTTTTTCTTCATGAGCACTCAGCTTCTGTATGACTATTTGAACATGTGCCAATGAAGGTGCATTACAGAGTGCAATTTGTAAATCTGGGTGTTAAACAAAGGCAGGCTTTTTTTTCTAAGCTTATTTCCTGACACCCACAGTTTTTGACAACCAAAATATATGTATTAACTACATTTGCTAGAAGAGCATAAAGCACATCTAAGTATAAATGTACACAGTTAAAGTGTGTTAACAGGAAACAAAAAGTCATCTCACTTGCGCAAAACTGAAGTGTAGTCACATAACCCCAGAGACAAGTGTAGCAGAAACACACACAGATGCAAATCTGTAGGTACTTACCTTTGTAACAGGTAAGAATGTGTGTTCTCCTGAAAGCCCTCTGCTTTATGGTTGCCTGCCAAATTAAAGCTTTCTTTGGGAGGTAACAAAGGTGCATACAAGAGTCTATTTGGGGATTTTTGGTTTTGTTTGCTTGGTTAGGGAAATGTTTTCATTTCTTTTTAGAGAATGATTTTACATTACCTACCATGTACTTGTTTGGATGGGTTTTAATATTAACAAGCACAAGATCTGTCCAACTCTTCATACTGTACTTTTCTCAATTCTCAACTTTAGGTAATATAGCTGCTCGAAGAGCAGGTACTATTGAAGATTTGCTGTAATGTATTTAAGGACTGGAGAAAAGTAAAATCTGAGGACTGCTATTTTAAACAGACAGCTGCATCACTTCATGACTTTTAATTCGGAGTTCTTGTGGGATCCAAATAGGTACAAGGTATTTTATTTAGAAATTAAAAAAAAAAATCTGTTTATGTAGGAGAAGGAACAAATATTTTTAACTCTGCATTGCTCATTGCCTAGTGAACATGCAAACTACCACTCTTCCAGTCTACTTGGTATTTTGCGTATGTTTGATGTACATACAGAGAGAGAGACACACACGCACTCACACACGCTCATACGTACACCTGTTTACATATTCTCTGTGTGTTACAGGCATGTATGCACATACATTCTCCTTGCGTAAGGAAATTAAGGGCCTACAATCAATAAATAATAAAACAGAATAGTTTAACCACAAACCCTGTAGTACACAACGTATAGAATGTACAAAGATCTGAAAAGCTTTAAAAATTATACTAGCCTGTACACTAAGAGAAGGGATCATTTATTAGTTTCAGAGAAATAATCTATGAAAAGGCTTTTTAACTGTTTTATAGTATTACACTTGGATTTTTTGCATCTGTGTATTTAGATTGTTTCCACAGGTTTTTTTTTTAAAATAGGTTCATGAACTACATGTTTAAAGAAATTACATTTGTTCCAGTAGCGTATGATGCAAGAGCAAGTTATAATACTGCCTTTGGGATGTTTGGTAATTCAGTTGTGTAATTACCTGACCTCCCCTCACCTTTTTGCTTCAGTTTTCAAATCACGGAATTTTAACCAGGTGAAGATCAAACAAAGGTTCATTCAGGTAGATGTTGCATGGCACTGTTCTTCTTCCCCTACTGGAGGCAGTTAGTGTCTTCTTAGCAATGCTTTCTGACTCAGACCACCCCGCTTCCCAAAACAGATGGAAGAACACAGCCTATCAGAAACTGCACTTACGGGGTTTGCATCTCAACAGTGGGGAGATTAAAGAAATTCCGTAACAAAAAAGTGGAGAGATTTAAGAGTATTTCCTTCTGAATTTACAATAAGCAGAGTTGATTTAATATGGAGCAGGCTAGTCTTGCCAAGAGAGTGGTTCTGATACAATCTTCTCTTTCTTCTATACGTAATAAAGTTCCTAGCTGTTGTTTTAAGATAGCTCTGGGAACCTTAGGAACTTCTGCAGCTTTTTACAGCTTGGGATAGGAGGGAGGAAGGTCTATAAAAGAAGAGTTCAATGTAAAGGCCTTTGTGGCTGTGTCCATATGAGTACATGCCTCAGCATGGTCTAGTATATTGGTCCACAGTTTTCCGGGCTGAGGATCTGGTTGGCATGCATGAAGGTTTCTTTCCCATCAGCACATTGGGATTTCCTGCCAAGGAACTCTAGTGAACAGAGGGAAAGAAAAGAGCACTGGAGAGCTAGCACATACCTGGATAGCACCCCAAAATGGGATAGGATGGAGGCAGGGAACTTAACTGGCTCCAGAACTCTAGAGGTACTCTTAGGTCTGCCAGTTTAGATGTTGCTAAGAGATCTACGTTAAGAGTTTCTTCTCTCCGTATTGATGCTTCTTGTAAATAATGAAAACAGTTAAAAGATTTTTTTTTTATGATACTAGTTCAGTAGCCTGTGTGAAACTAATTAGCAAATTAAATTCTAAGCCTATTTCTCACAGTCAGTAAAACAGTCTTGTGATTTGTCCCCTCTCACACAGTAAGTATCTCCTGATATCATGAATACTGCCATCCTTTGGTAGGTCTGTGCTGAAAATACCACAAAAACATTGGCAGTCCTACTTGGAGTAGTCCATCTTTTAGTGAAGGAAAAGAGTTGGTGTAGGCCAAAGAGGCACTTTCCATGAGCAGTAGATTTACTTTAAAATTATTGAAATGTTTTTCCCTTGTCTTAAGGACTTCTCCTTCCACCCGAATCAAATAAAATAGTAACTTAACGCCACTTGGTTCCAGTTTAACTGTTGTAAAGGCATTATGTATGGAAAATGTCATGTAGTCTAGAAAGTATAATAAGATATAAGCCTGAATTTAAGAGATGTTAAAATCTGGACAATTTGCAGGATTTATTGACACTTAAAATTGTACCAAACCTAAAGCAAAATGAATAACCATTTAATTCTGCGATAACAGTATAGTATTCTCTAGCAAAGGAATTTGGAAATTAAAACCCACAGTAGGACAAAAATGCCTTGAGAAGTTGAGAGGCTTTTAGCTTTTGCTTTCTGAAACAGAACAGGGAACGCTGAAAGCAGTTTCAGGCCTTATTATCATCTGATTATTGTACCATCTAAAGCAGCCTCCAGGGCTATCGTAAACTGATTTGTGCATTCCTTTTTCCTCTTGCCCTTTCATACGGTGGCCTCTTGGGGCAAGCACTGCTGTGTTCCAGGTACTGGCTTACTCTTTGGCAAACTGGAACTAAGT